ATCAAAACATTCGGCATGGCTCAAGGTTTCAAATTCGGTAAAGCTGGTGGTGCATTTGCCGCTGGGAAAGCTGTTGGTGCCAAAGGCAAAAAAGGTGGTAAATTTGCTGCTGGAGGTTTGGTTGCCGGAAAGAAAGGTGGCAAGAAAGGTGTTAAAAAGGCAGGCGCTGCTGGTTTCGCTAAAGGTGGCAAAAAAGGTTTCGCTGCTGGTAAAGTTGCTGGTAAGTTTATTTTTAATTAATTTCCTTTTATCAAACAATGATGATTGATTCTATTAAATTACAGGTAAAAAAGGTGCTGCAGCTGGTGCTAAAGCTGCATTCAAAAAAGGTGGCAAAAAAGGTGGAAAAGGAATTGGCAAATAATTACACAACATTCAAATAACTTTGAAAACTGATAAAAAAAATTCTGATCAGGTCAAATTCCTGATTTATTAATTGTGATTTTCGTTTGTTTTTACATTTTGACAAATAAAAAAAAATTTACTTTCAAAATATTTTCATTGTTGAATTGACGATAAATAGATGGCACCACATATGTTTCATATATTCAAATCTTCATCATTATTGGTATACCTGCAATCTTTTGGTTTATATCAATGAAAACAAAATAAGAACCAGGAACGATTTGAATCCGAAAATTATCAATTATTAATGATTAATATTTACAATTGATTATTATACATGATGTAAACATGACCATGATTATTAGATGATAACATTAATAATGATACGGTAGTAAAATTATCTTCATCATTACTATTATCATCCAAACATGAAAACATCATTATCATTGGATTAAATTCTGATTATCAGGATTTTGATTACAATGTTTGATACAGAAAAATTAGAAACAAACGATGACACTGATCTCTTGATGAACCAAAAAAACTTTCAAAAAAAATACATGCTTTTCAAATCAAAAATTGAATTTTTTCAATTCATTATCCAATTGGATTGTTTGCGTTTCAATGATGATTTCAAAAAGGCGTCAAATCTTTGATATGACACTTGTTTGTTTTTTCAACAAAAAAAGATCTGTTTCAAATCTGCATTAAAATATCAACAAAATCAAAAAAATTTGAATATTCATTTAACCTATGACCTTTTTTTTTACAACAACCGTTGTCTAAAGATGTCATCATCATCAAATCTAAATGAAACTTTTTTGTTTTCAAACTAAAATTAAAAACAAATTACAAATAGAGAGTTTCAGATTACAATCAATCGGCTTTTGAATATTCTCTTGTAAGTTTTTTGCTTTGTTGAAAATTATCATTATCATCATCATCAACAGACAATGTCCAGACAACATTATCCATTTTTCGTCAATTTTCATTGATTGTCAATGTTTTCATTAGTTTCATCAACAGCCAAAAGTTTGATAATGATATCAATTAGTAAAAAAAACAAACAAATGACAGATTAGTAGATAATGGTGTCTTCTTTTGTTTTTCTTCCATTAATAATAACGATCATGATAACGATGATCTCTGGTTGATTGAATTTGATAATAGTGTTGGTGATGATGATGATGATGGTGGTCGTGTCATGTCAATCCACTGTTTTCATTCATTTTAGCGATGTGACAAAAATTGATTCGGACAATTTTTGTTTTTACTTCTAATGGGCATCTGGCAATCTGTTTTTTACATACATTTTGTCACCATTTAGTTCTGGCACTTTTTTCGGTTGTTGTTGTTGGTTGACGCGCTTGATCTCTCTCACTTGGAGAAATAAAATAAAAAACATTAACCAAGTTAGTCCCGGTTTTTTTTGCGATGCCTGGCATTCAGCAATAAATTTCGGCACTTGAACTTTGTTTTCATTTCTAATGGGGATGTGAAAATATCTCAAACTAAAAAAAGTTCATAAAAATTAACGGTTTTTTTGGTGTTCAATTAAATCTCTGCTGAACAGTGGTAAAAGAATTTTGCCGCCGCCACCGGCTGCCATTATCAAATTTCTTAAAATTTGAGAAAATTTTTCGGGAAAAATATTCATCTTTTTCGGAAATTTTCCAAACAAAAAAATTATTACCTTTGTTGTTGTTGTTGTTGTTGTTCATCAATAATTCAACAACAACAACAACAACTTCTTTGTCTTATTTGTTTTATGGAAAAAGTGTTGTTTTTCCTTTATATTTTGTAAATAATAATAAAATTTTGTTGCAATAAATAAATAAATCTTTGTAGTTTTTTTTGTTTTTTATATTCTGCAATTTCAATTCTCTCTTTTTATTTAGTTTGATGATGATGATATCGTTATCATTTATTATTATATGATGATGATCATCATTATCATCAAACATTATCATTGTGAATTGGCGCCATAATGTCGGCCAATTCATCAAGTTTTTTTTACTCTCGAAACAAAAAAATCTTGACGCGAAGTACAACAGATATTTCTAAGGAAAATTTTTTAGGTTTTTTTTTTGTTTCAAGTACAGATCCTATTTACCACTTTCTCTAGCATTTTTTTATGAAAAAAAATTTATCATCATAAGTTTGATCCAGCCAAAAAAGAAAAAACGAGACCAAACAATCAAAAAAAATCCATTTTAAAAAAAAAACCGTTTTGTTATTGCCACAAAAACCTATTTAATATATCTTACCTCCATCATCCAGTTAGTTAGCTTTTTTTCTGACACTATAAAATAAAATGACACATAAGGCATAACTAAAGCAAAACTACAAGCACAGGCTAAACAATAACCATTAAAAATCTATTAACAAAATTAAAGAGTGAGAGAGTGAGAGAGAGAAAAAAGGCTGAGCAATGCATCATTATCACCATCATCATTATCATTCGATTGATTGGCAGCAATTTTCATTTTGAATGTTCATTTCATCAATTAATCAATAAGAAATTTTTGTAAGATTTCTCCCTCTCTCTTTCACTTCTGTTTGATTTTTTCCATATTTTTTCTCCAATGATGATGCCTTTCGGGCTTGATTGCTGATTTCTTCTTCTTCATACATTCATCTGGTCGATGATCATTGACGGGGTAATATTTATATTCGCCTCATTCTTAAATCAGTGTTTTTGATGAATTTAAACAAACACAAGCAAGAAAAAAAGCAAACAGCAAACACACACCCCGATTACAAAGTCTTAAATTTGATGATAATTATTGAATGAAACATTTCACATATCAAACAAAACAAACAAACGAAACAAAATTTATGGAACAAAGTTCGTCAATCAACCAAAGTCCAAATGGAAAAAAAAATTTTGGTTGCTGTAAGTAAATGAATGGATCGCATACACTGTTTGATTTGTGACCAAAATGGAAACGAAACGAATTGAAGCAGAAAAATGTCACAGTTATTTTGTCAAACCAAAAAAAACATTAAGATATTTCTTCCATCAATGTTGTTGTTGTTGTGTTGTTTTTGTCCAATATTTTTTTTTCGAGAAAAATGGCGAAGAAAAATTTTCCATTTGATCATCATCGACAAATCATCAAAAATCGTCTAAATGGAAAAATTAAATCAAAAATAATTACCATGATAATTGTGAACTTTGAATTCAATCACACAAACACACAAATACACACATCATTCGATCACCATTAACAATTTCATAATTTTGAAAAAAAAGGGATAAAATGAT